GCCTGAGCGGGCACAACTCCAACCAACCTATCAAAAGCAGGTGCGATGAGGGCCTACTCAGTGCCAACTCGGCCACTTCTCTGACTTCTGACGGGTGAACAGTCTTCATTAGGAAGTGTTGTTACACGTTAAAGAAAAAAAATTAAGCATGTGAACTCTGCACGCGTAACCGTGGGAGCGGTGGGGCCCGGTCAGGCCGCTCGGCTCTCCTCACAGGGAATTAGGGGGCAGCGGGGAGAGAGGGGAGGTGGCCGCACGTACCGGGGTGTCAGACAGTGAAGCCTCCACCGCGACGGGCCAGTCACTTTTACAAGCAGCATTGCTTCCCCGCCCCTCCGGCCCATTTCCTAGAGCGCGAGCTGAGCAGTCACCCTCCACGCCCCAGAGGGAGCGCGTCGCAGGCCCCGGGCCGCGGGGAGGACCGGCCCGAGGCGGCGTCGGGCGGCTTCCGGCGGCTGACCCCGAGCTGCTCCCTCCCGCCCGCAGACCTCGCCCCGCCCCCTCGGCCACCGCCCCCCGCGGGTCGGGCCCAGCGCCCCCGCCCCCCTCGCCCGGCCCCACCCCGGCTCCGCCCCTCGGCCGGTGGCCCCCACGGCGACAGTGGGAGGAGCGCGGAGGCGGCGGCTGGAACCGAGCAGCGCACGGGAGCGCGCCCCGCAGCCTGCTTCCCGGCCTCAGGTCAGAGCCCGCCGTGCAGTCCGCGGTGAGTACTACGTGGCCCGACCGACGTCCCCGGACCGGATGGACCGCCCAGGCCCCGGCGGGGTGGGTGCGAGTCCGCCGCTCCCCCCGGCACCTTCCTGGAGCCGGGCTGCCGCGCGCAGGACAGCCCGGACCGGGCGGCGGGGGCGTCCAGGAAGGCCGAGGGGAGAATCGGTGACTAGTTTCCGAGGACCGACTCCTCCGCCCGGTCTCCAGTCTGTGCTGCGCCGAGGCCAGGGGCCGGGGACTGGAAACGGCTCTCCTTTGCCGAGCCTGAGCCGGCCTCCGGGGCAACCCTCCCTGAGGCTGTTCGGGGCGGCTGACCTGGGAGTCCTCACCCCGAGGAGGGCGTGCGGGCCTCACCCGGGAGTCCTCGCCGACCCGGGGGTGGCCAGATAGAGAAATCCTCAGTGGTGGGGACAGATCGGGGAATCCACAGCAAGTGGCAAGGGGAAAATGGGGTGAGGGGGAAGGGACCCTGGGTAGAAGGTTTGGGCACAGAGCCCATACTAATAGATTCAGAGATCAGGAAGGAGCACGCGCTGCCTTTCCTAACTCAGCCAGCACATCAGAACGGCACTTCTCTCCTGCAGCGTACGTAACACTCCTCACCCGTGTGTGTGTGTGTGTGTTGCGGGGATGGGGGTTGGGAGTCGGGGACAAACTTTTGGGGAGCCTCAGAAATCCCTTCACGCTCAAAAATTAGTACACTAAGGAGCTTTTTTGTGTGTGTGGGTTATCTTAATATTTAACATGTATAAAACTGAGAAGTTTTTTCTATATTTAATAATTCACTTAAAAATAATGGTGGACCTATTATGCATTAACATATTTTTGTGAAAATAGCCATACTTTTCAAAACAGAATGTTACTGAGAAGAGTGGCACTGTATTCTATTTTTGCAGATCTCTTTAATGGCAGGTTTAATAGACAGCAGCTAGAATCTCTTATCTGCTTCTGCATTCAGTCTGTTGCAGTATTACATGTCAGATAGCCTCTGAAAAACTCTACCGTATACCTCTGAAAACGTGAGAGTGAAAATGGCAAAGAGCACCTTGCCATTATGAAACTGGTTTTGACCTTGTGTGTCCCTTGAGTCCCGTCCCACACTTTGAGAACCACTGTTGTGGGAAATACTTCAGAGGCTTAAGTGACTGGGCCTATTTTTTGTTTGTGATTCTTCCTGTGAATGGGAACCACCCCATGCACCGGTGGTGTTAACATCTAGTAGTTGTGAGCAAGCTTGACCTCACTCTGGAAACCAAGTGATAGGTCCCATTTAAGAGATGGTGAGCCCAGCTGGCCTCCTGAAAACCAGCAAGGCTCTCAGATGCCTTTGGTTGTTTCCGTGCCTGCAGAGCTGAGCCGTGTGTGCACCCAGATCGCAGCAGTGATGTGGCACACAGGACCTGTGCGTTCAGAGAGATGCCCGTGGGGAGCCCATGCCGTGGTGGGGGGGCAGCGGGGGCAGAGGGGAGGGTTGTTGCAGGAGCTTTTCCAAGTGGTGGAGAAGCGATTTCCAGAAGAACTGGGAGGCATGTTTTGGCCTTGCTCTCGTCCATGTTCATTTCTGTTTGCGGTTGTGCAGCCTTGAGTTTATTGGACTAGGCCTCCCCAATCTTGGGGCTCTTTCCCTTTCCACTTTCAGAGGGGTGTGTCCCTGCGAATGGCCCTTCCTCAGCCCCTGCCGGAACCCAGTGTCCTGCATGCTGGTGTCTGGTAGGTGGGATCCCTCACTGTATCGTTTCCTTCGCTTCTTGTTCTGTCAGCACAAGTCCCAGATAGAAATGACATATGTACATAACCTGATGAAGGTTTGCAAGACAGACATACCAAACTATTAACAGTAGCCAGTTCTGGGCAGCAGAGTCTGGTGGAAGGAAGGCAGGCAGGGAACTTGTACTTGTTCTTTGTAATACCGTATTTCTGCCTGGCCTGCAGCATTCCTGCGTTGCTTTTACAACCTGAAAACAGACAAACTAAAATCCCAACAACCTATACTTTGTAAAGGAAGATAGGATTATTTCTCTGGGAAGAATGGTGGTATAACCACTCCCTCAGTTCCAGTAAAACAAATTAATTGTCACATCATGTTTCTGAACTAGTATATATGATACTAGTATCAATTCATTCAAAATAATATTGAGAGAGAGAGCCCTCTCAGATCAAAACATTTTACTGAATAGCATTGTTTGATGTAAGCCCCTGTCCAAGGTTAGAAGCACCAGATCAGAGAATCTTCTTTAATGGACTGTCATGCAGCCCTTAACTGATGTTGCAAAATGCTGTTTCATGAAATACCTTGAAGTACAATTTTTAAATTTAAAAGCATATTACCCAAGACTTCCCTGTGTTCCCTCTTGAGGAGAGAAAGCATGTGTGTATGTCCAGGCGCACACATGCATGGACAGAGGCAACGGATGTGCCGAAAGCTGAGTGGTTTTCTCTTGGTAGTAGGGTACAGCTAATTTTTAAATTTCTAACAAGTATTAAACTTGATACAACCAAAAATAACCCCTAGTGACTTGTACGTTGCGGACCACACAGTTGTCTTTGTTCTTAGAATGATTTACCACCAACTTGCCAGTAGCAGACGCCAGCTGCTCCCTCTCCCAGTGGGAAGTGGGGAAACAAGTATGGAGCGAGAGGCATGGGGAACTGAGAACGGTGACCCACAGACCTCAGTCACACTGTGCAGCATCTCCTTTCCCCTGTGGAGTCAGCTCCAGCCTCAGCCCTGCCCTCTCCCTGCAGCTGACCCAGAGGTTAGAAAGTTCTTATTGGATTAGCACCATCACCTGAGAAGCCATCAGCTGACCATCTCCCCAGACTGACTGGCCTTCATTCTTTCTTAGCATTTTTTTTATTGAAGCATATTTGATTTAGTGTCGTGTTAGTGTCTGGTGTACAGCATAAGGACTTGGTTATATATATTCTTTTTCGTATTCTTTTTCATTACAAGTTACTACAAGCAATTGAATATAGTTCCCTGTGCTATACAGTAGGCCCTTGTTATTTATCTTTTTTTAGCCCCTTTCAGTGGAAAATTGCAGACCAAAGAAGTGGAGAGTATAAATCCTCAGCTTCAATTATGAATATTAACATTTGGCCAATCTTGTTTCATCTAGACCTGTCCTCAAACTCAGTTCTTTTTTCCCTCTTCTAGGAGTTAGCATCTTCATTTCCAACTGTATAAGCTAACAAAAAAAAGTATTTTGTTGTGTCTTTTTAGCAACAAGCATGTACTGACTGCTGTAGCAAAATCTCTTCTACGCTAATGTCAGCACAACTGAACTCCTGAGTGGGCTCTGAACACCTGGCATGTGGTCCTGTTTCTCTGCTCCCGCATTTGCTCTCCTCCTGCCGGGTCCTCCAGCTTGCCTTCACCCAATTCTCCTGTTAAGCCTTTCTGCATCTCCCTAATTACAGCCAGCCCCCCTAGTTACAGCCGCCTCTTTCCTGTGACCTCTCTTACAACCCTTAGCATATTACAGTTCTTTGCTTTCTTATCTGAGTCTCCCTGTCAGATCATAATCTACCTAGTATTTATGTAAAACTAGGTTTTCCTTATCTGCCTTTCCCCTGTAGTGTTTAACAATGTTTAATGCAAAGAAGATGCCCAAGAAACAGATGCTAAATTATGTCAATTAAGTTCACTGGAGGAAATTTTTGATTATAAAAGAAATGCATCATGTTCAAAGGAAAAATTTCAGATATTGTCTAGGACCAAGAATATTTTATCTCACTTGCAGGAGTTTTAAAGCTTTTAAAGAACTGTGACAAAAAAGAATTTTAATTTGAAACAATATTAAAAAGGCAACTCAAAAGAGGAAAATCTTTCTTTATGGTCTGTTGTGATTTTTTTCACATCTATCTGGAGCTTTTTGGGGTCTCCTCTGATTTTAGAATGCTTTTTTCCACTTAGTAGATAAGAGTGGCTCTGACAATAATTCGTAATCCCCATTGTGTTTTAAGATGTAGGTTTA